TTTATCGCTCTAAAGGTCAATTATAAGGGAACTAAAGAAACAACACTATGCAAAATGAATAAACGGATTTCTGTTGCCATCACCATATGTTTTTCTTATCACTTATGGTTTTTCCAGTTACTGTGTACATAGCATTCAATTAAAGCGATTCATTTCCCAGGCTGAATATGGTTTGTGTTTATAGAACTGTGCTTTGAAGGAGAGGAAGCAACACGCCTCTATTTGAATTACCTGATTTTTTGCAAGATCAGTGATAAGAGACAGATGTTCTCACCAGTTACTTTCTCATAACCAGAATCTTCTGATAAGCTGCAGATTCACAATTATCATCTTAGTGATCTTTCCACACTCAATGTATATAGTATGCACTTGGGCTTTTGAACAGGACGAGGAAAAGACTGGTTTGGTGGTCTGTTCACTGTATTGCAGGCCGAACTTCAGTGTCTTTGAACGAAACCAGTGAAAGGTCTTTGTCTGTGTTTCATATGTTCAACTTTAAAGAATATGCCTACTTTTATTTTAGATTCCATGTATCATGGAGCTTACTGTTTATTATTTAGTCTGTTTAATGTGTGAAAAAGAAACTAATTCTTGCTATGATACTAACTTGAACTTGTTTGTATTAAGTTCTAGAACTACTTAGAAAAATGAATCCTAGAAAATCTAAAATGATAATTTTCCTGTTCTTTCATTTTTTGCTTTGTAAATTATATACACTATGGCTAATTACTGTAATGTTTTCTTAACGGTGTTGCTTGAAAGCACTAATTTCTGGAGCTTTTAAATTTCTGGGATAATGTGTGATCTAAGAGGCTTGTTTATGCCCCTTCAGAATATCTTAAAATATTCTTTCTGTAGATGAGCAAAATAATAGTTCACTGAATTATACAAACTACACCTATAAAGTAAATTCTACAGAGTAAAACTCTTCAGAGTCCTCTTTTTGAAAAATAATTATTTACTTGCTACTCTATTTACTTCTTTATGGCTCTTTTCATTTTGCAAAGGCATATGTTCTTATCTCCTATCCCATTAGATACAGCTCCGTAAGGGAGTATCATTCCATTTTATGGAAGAGAAGCATACACTCGTGGTGGCCCCATGGTGTAATGGTTAGCATTCTGAACTTTGAATCTAGAGAGGCATACGCTCTAGGTATGATGTGATATGCCCACAGTCACACAAGGCTATGGCCCCAGTTCTAGAGTTCTTTTCACTGCACCAGAGTGCCGGCTGTTTCTCACTAGCCATTCCAGTGGAGGCAGCGCTGATTAGTATTGAATCACACAGTAGTGTGATTCCTCTTCTCTGCACGTCCTTGTGATACTCTTAGGTAGGCCAGTTGGAATTGAGAGAAGAACTTGTCTCACACCACCCTGTCATTGCTTTCTGTGCTTATGTTTAATAAGGAGAGCTGGTCTCAGACCCAGAGTCTTCATCAGAAGATGGTATTTTTAGCAAAAATTTAGCCACATTGGTTACTGTCATTGTATTATTTGAGTTACTTTTTCTTTTGAGAAAGGATACACATAGGTTTTTCAGAATAATTGGACCATTATTCTAGGTAAAGTAACTCAGGAATGCAAAACCAAACATTTTATGTTCTCACTTAAGCTCTGAGTGCAGAGGCATAAGAATAATACAGTGGACTTTGAGGACTTGGGGGAAAGGGTGGGAGGGGGTGAGGAATAAAAGGCTACAAATCAGGTGATGGGTGCACCAAAATCTCACAAATCACTACTAAAGAACTTACTCATGTAACCAAACAGCAGCTGTTCCCCAAAAACCTATGGAAATAAAATAAAATAAAAACATGAGTCACTTTGAAAAACCTGTTAGGCAAAGGTTCACTTTGGACAGGGAGATGGCAAAAGGCATGAAGGCTGCACATGAATGACTGATATCTGGAGAGCATCATCCTGTCCCATGTATGTATAAAGTCCTGGAAGCTATAAGGAAGGTTTCAGATTTTTATTCTATTCTTCAACGACTCCTGTTAGAGCTGTGACCTTACTGTATGGTGGGGAAGGTGAAGAAAGGATTCTACTGAGTTGGAAATGAGTGGGACATTTCATGGATGTCCCTCCATTGGGAATATGCAGCTGCTCTTCTTAGAGTGCCACGTGGTTATTCCTAATTTTAAAAATGTTATCACAAAGATACCGGCTTCAAGTTGTTCCATTTCAGTGTGGAGAAGCAACATAAGCAGGCATATGGCCATAATTTGGCTAACTGGTCATATAGTTCCCTCTTTAACCCACCATTTACCCTCCCCCAGTGCTGTCTTTGGCGACTTCACCAGGCTCTGTGTCTCCTCAGGGCGCTGTCTTACGTGGGTGGCAGGGTAGGGTAGGCTAGCCATCTGTTATTTTGCCCTCTCTTTCCAACCTTCTTGCCCATAGTAGCAGCTTCCGTTGAAGTGATTGGCTGAGGTCCAGGGAGAGGGAGAGCCATGTGACTTTATCTCAGCTACGTGTCTGTCTGCTGTCTTTAGCATCAGTATAGCAACTTAGTAATTTTTTTTAATGCCCCATTCTACAGATCATTGCCTTTACACATACAAATCTTATGAGGCAAAATTGATTCATTTATAAATTGTGGTGTTAGCTTGTTAAAGCATTTAGTTCATAATTCCCATAAAGTTAGCCTAGAAAAGTATTTTTAAATTAAAACTAAATTCCAGCGGTGAAAATGGCTTACTTGATTCAAGTACGTACTAAAGATTTTTAAAGCCCACAAGCTTCAAGGTTTAGTTCCACATCTCAACAGATGGAATGAACACAAACATAACAAAGTTAACATCGTGGTTGTTTGCATTAGTAATCTTCAGATGCATGGCATTCTGCTACCTTGCTAGCCAGGTTTGCACGAATCCTTTCATTGCAACATATGTCAACAGAAATGTGCTTCCATCTGCTGCGGGATAGCTTGATGCCTGATACTCCGAGACAAGGCCCAGCACAATGAGTACCTCTGTGAGTAATTACAGGTGTGTGGTGAGGAGCCCAGGGCATTAATCAGAGGCTTAATTATGAAAAAGGTGGATCTTTTGTTCCACTCTTGGATCCTGAGTTTACCACACACTTTCTGAACTGCAGCATCCATCTGCTCGGTACCTTAGAATGTTTGTCTTGACTGATATGGACCTTACAGTGTATCAAAGGACATGATTAAAGCAGGCTTAAACATTAACCTGGAAGAAGCATGGTTCATGTTTTTTTTTCCTTCCTTCCTTCCTTCCTTCCTTTTTTACTTATCTATCTATTTATCTGTTTATTTCTGGTGTAAAAAAAAAAGTCTGCTGAAATGCTAAAACTTTAATACTTGTTAAACTATTTACCATATGTGAACTCCATTGAATTAAGCATTATAGAGTAATTTTAAGAATGTAAATGGCAAGATTTGTAGAAACTAAGACCCATGTAAGGAAAAAAAGAGTCTTAGGAAAAATGTTTTGTGAACACATGTAAATTTTTTAAGAAGGTAAGTTGTTAAGTGAGGTTATTTTTATTACGACAGACTTAACATGTTAGAATTTAGCATGTTACTACTGTGTTGCTCTAATGATATTGACAGAATTAAATCAGGATTGTATTTAAGGATTTTTTAGATAACCAGACTGAAATCTAAGAAAATAAAGTAGGATTGTGTGTGTGTGTGTGTGTGTTTTTATTTTGCTTCTTGCTCTTATATTGACAGTATAGGTTGTATAACGGCAAGGCACATAGCTATAGTATAGTCATGTGACATTTCAGTCAGTGGCAGACCACATATATGATGGTAGTCCTATAAGATTATAGTGCTGTATTTTTACTCAACCTTTTCTATGTCTAGATGTGGTTTGATATGCAGATACCTTCCATTGTGTTACTGTTGCCTACAGTATTCGATATAGTAACACGCTGTGCACATTGGTAGCCTCAGAGCAATAGGCCATACCACATAGCCTGGATGTGTAGTAGGCTCTCCATCTAGGTTTGTGTAAATCACTCTATGATGTTCGTAAGATGATGAAATTGCCTAACGACATATGTCTCAGAATGTATTCTCGTCATGAAGCGACACGTGACTGTACTTCACTGTATGTTTTGATTAATGTACATGACCAACAGCTGCATAAAAGAAGTTTGTGGTTTGTGGTTTTCTTACTAATTCTTATTACACACACACACACACCCCCCCCCCACACACACACACACTCTCTTGCACATATGGCTTCAGAGATGTGACCTGGCCATGGATGGCACGAATACTGTCCCATGGTGGACCCCTGATTTACCACAGGCAGGAATTAGATATCTGCTTCAGAAGAGAGCTGAGGGGGTGAGGAGCCATCTAGCCATCAGTGAGAGGCCATGACAGACACAGGAACACAAGGCGTCTGGGGCAGATGATGCTCTTTACACTGTACTCTATGCAAAAGGCTACTCCTGTTGCGCTTTGTACTTGCAGCGAGATCACACTTATACTCAGAGCAATGCTGACTCCCTGACTTTAGCATTTCACTGATTACAGCATCTCCTTAGCACTCTCCATATTCCCATTTCTTAGCACATAAAACTATCTGAAGAGTGAAATTTTCCATCTCTTTGCCTACTTTAAGATATTTTAAAGTAGCTGTGTGCTTTAACTGTGGCAAATTGAAAGCCAAAAACAGATATATATTTTCTTTCAGTGACAGTTACGTATTTACCTCATCACTCCTGTAGCCTGTCCGAGGAGCCTACCTTTACATGGAGGACATAGGAAATGTCTAGTCTCAGAGTCATGATTTAGATTTTGGATAATTTATCTTACAGTTTAGTATCTCTAATCTCTCACCTTTAAAATGGGTACAATAACCCTTGGAGTAACTCAGTTTGCAATATCACTTTCACTGAAAATTTTCTGTGATCTGTGTTCTCTTAGATTATTATACAGTGGTCATATGTACCCTGCAAACTGACTACTTTGGAATTTTGTTGAACATTACAATTGTGTTTTCTCATCTTCCCTTTTAGGATATCTTAAATACCATCATAAGGCACTGCCCACCCCGCTTTTTCTCCCTGGGTTTTCCTGGCTTCTCAATGCTGGTGGGGGACTTCATCACGGCCGCTGCCAGGGTCCTTAGCACAGACATGTTGACGGTGAGTATGACAATGCTCAGCATCCCAGCTCCCAGGAGGCTTCACAATCGCTAACAAGGTTCAGATTTCTCCACTCTTAACAGGTGTTGACTCATTAGTGCAATGTGAAACTGGGCTCTCAGGGTAGATACCCTGGCAGCTGATGTGTGAAATTGTAGGATAAGATGACACACTGGTATTGGAAAGGCGTTTCATCAAAAGGCCAAAGTGTGAGAAATCATATCCTCACTAATATTTCAGCACCTTTAGACAGTCAGAAGCAGGAATTGTCTCTTAGAATCTTATTAGCATTTTCCAGTAAATGGAGGCACAGACATAAATGTCTAAAATGGGGAGTTTTGAAGTGTACATTCGCAGTAAGTTTTTTTTTAATTAGGTCTTATTATAAGTCTCATAGAAAATATTTTCTTAAAATATTAGAACACAAAAATCTTAACTAGAAGTGAATACATATTCTCTTAATAACATGTCGGAATGCTTGGGCAGAATTTTTGTAATAAAAAGTAGAAGTGGACTCAATGATTGGTAAGGGCTACAAGAAAAATTTGTTTTTACTGTCTACATTTACCCCTGCTATTCAGGCACTATCTTTTTCTTTACTTCGTTGTAGTTGTTGTTGAAGAGATAGAGTCTCATTCATTCTCCACCCAGGCTGAAGTGCAATGGTGCTATCATGCCTAGCTCACTGTAACCTCAAACTCCTGGGCTCAAATGATCTTCCCACCTCAACCTCCTGAGTAGTTAGGACTGCAGGCACATGGCACCATGTCTGGGTGAATTTTAAATTTTTTGTTGAGATTGGAGTCTCTCCATGTTGCTCAGATTGGTCTCAGACTCCTAGACTTAAACAGTCCTCCCACTGCAGTCTCCTAAGTGTTAGGATTATAGGTGTAAGCCACTGTGCATGGCCAAAGCAATATCTTAATACCTTTCAAGGGAATACCATTATGCATTCAAATTTAAAGGGCCTTTTCCATTTGTGCTCTGTAAGCTGTTATGTATTCAGAGTAATTTTTGCCCCTTCAAATGGTATAAATAAAATTAGCTTTACTACTTGCTAAGGATTGGTATTGAAGTCAGTGTGGCTATCCAACAACCTAAACCTTGTTTGGTATGTGATTACTTTTTCACTTTATTTATTTCTTCTTTGCAGGGTAAATTCAAACTTCAAGCCCTTGGTTTTAAGATAAATTGTTTGCCCTGCAAAGGACATGAACTCAATCTTTTTTATGGCTGCATAGTATTCCATGGTGTATATGTGCCACATTTTCTTTATCCAGTCTATCATTGATGGGCATTAGGGTTGGTTCCAAGTCTTTGCTATTGTCAACAGTGCTGCAATAAACATACATATGCATATGTCTTTATAGTAGAATGATTTATAATCATTTGGGAATATACTCAGTAGTGGGATTGCTGGTCAAATGGTATTTCTAGTTCTAGATCCTTGAGGAATCACCACACTGTCTTCCACAAAGATTAAACTAACTTACACCCCTAACAACAGTGTAAAAGCATTTCTATTTCTCCACATTCTCTTCAGCATCTGTTTCCTGACTTTTTAATGACCACCATTCTGACTGGCAGGACATGGTATCTCACTGTGGTTTTGATTTGCACTTCTCTAATGACTAGTGATGTTGAGCTTTTTTTCATGTTTGTTGGCTGCATAAATGTCTTTTGAAAAGCGTCTGTTCATGTCCTTTGCCCACTTTCTGATGGGGTGGTTTTGTTTTGTTTGTTTGTTTTTTAGCAACTGTTTAAATTCCTTGCAGATTCTGGATATAAGCCCTTTGTCAGATAGATAGATTGCAAAAATTTTCTCCATTCTGTAGGTTGCCTCACTCCGATGACAGTTCCTTTTGCTGTGCAGAAGCTCTTTAGTTTAATTAGATCCCATTTGGCAATTTTGGCTTTGGTTGCCATTGCTTTTGGTGTTTTAGTCATGAAGTCTTTGCCATGCCTGTGTCCTGAATGGTATTGCCTAGGTTTTCTTCTAGGATTTTGATGGTTTTAGGTCTTAGGTTTAAATCTTTAATCCATCTTGAGTTAATTTTTGTATAAGGTGCAAGGAAGGGGTCTAATTGCAGTTTTCTGCATATGGCTAGCCAGTTTTCCCCACTCCATTTATTAAATAGGGAATCCTTTCCCCCATTGCTTGATTTTGTCAGGTTTGTCAAAGATCAGATGGTTGTAGATGTGTGGTGTTACTTCTGAGGCCTCTGTTCTGTTCCATTGGTCTACATATCTGTTTTGGTACCAGTACCAAGCTGTTTTGGTTACTGTAGACTTGTAGTATAGTTTGAAGTCAGGTGGTGTGATGCCTTCAGCTTTGCTCTTTTTGCTTAGGATTTTCCTGGCTATTTTGGCTTTTTTTTGTTTTCATTTGAAATTTAAAGGAGCTTTTTCTAATTCTGTGGAGAAAGTCAGTGGTAGTTTGATGAGAATATCATTGAATCTGTAAATTACTTTGGGCAGCATGGCCATTTTCACGGTATTAATTCTTCCTAACCATGAGCATGGAATGTTTTTCCATCTGTTTGTGTCCTCTCTTATTTCCTTGAGCAGTGGTTTGTAGTTCTCCTTGAAGAGGTCCTTCACATTTCTTATAAGTTGTATTCCTAGGTATTTTATTCTCTTTGTAGCAATTGTGGATGGGACTTCACTCATTATTTGGCTCTCTGCTTGGCTGTTATCGGTGTATTGGAATCCTTGTGATTTTTGTATCCTGAGACTTTGCTGAAGTTGCTTATTAGCTCAAGGAGTTTTTGGGCTGAGATCATGGGGTTTTCTAAATATACACTCATGTTAGTACAAACAGAGATCATTTGACTTCCTCTTTTCCTATTTGAATACCCTTTATTTATCTCTCTTGCCTCATTGGCCTGGCCAGAACTTCCAATACTGTGTTCATGATTTGCCAAGAGAGTTTCCTGTAAAAATGTTGGAGGCCTTCCTAGAGATAATATTATTCATGGTAGTCATTTTCTGCCAGCATGGCTAGATGGGCTATTTAAAGTGACCTTACAGACATACAGTTGGCTAATAGTGCAGTAGCCCCACTTTATCCTCAGTTTCACTTTCTGATACCAGTTACCACAATCGATGGTGGTCCAAAAATATTAAATGGAAGGTTCTAGAAATAATTTTAGCATGAGGAAACCTTGAGCCATCCTGGCCCATCCTGCCCGGGACATGGAGCATTGCTTTGTCCAGTGGATCCACGTGGTATCTGCTCCCCCACCTGTTAGTCACTTAGTGGCCATAGCTGTTACCAGGTGGGCTGTTGTGGTATCACAGTGCTTGTGTTCAGGCAATCTTTATTTTACGTAATAATGGCCCCAAAGCAGAAGAGTGGTGATGCTGTCATATTGTTATAATTGTTCTATTTTATTTTTAGCTGTTATTGCTAATCTCTTACTGTGCCTAATTTTTAAAAAATTATTCTTTAAGTTCTGGGATACATGTGAAGAATGTGCAGGTTTGTTACATAAGTATACACATGCTATGGTGGTTTGCCACACCCATCAATCTGTCATCTACATTAGATATTTTTCCTAATGCTGTTCCTCCCCTAGTCCCCTACCCTCCTATAGGCCCCAGTGTGTGTGATGTTCCCCTGCTTGTATCCATGTGTTCTCATTGTTTGGCTCCCACTTATGAGTGAGAACATGAGGTGTTTGGTTTTCTCTTCTTGTGTTAGTTTGCTGAGAATGATAGTTTCCAGCTTTATCCATGTCCTTGCAAAGGACATGAACTTATCCTTTTCTTGTGGCTGCATAGTATTCCATGGTATATATGTGCCACATTTTCTTCATCCAGTCTGTTATTGATGGACATTTGGGTTGGTTCCAAGTCTTTGCTATTGTACATAATTTATCAATTAAAATGTTTTCGTAGGTATGTATGTATGGCAAAAACCATAGTATACATAGGGTTTGGTACTATCCACAGTTTTAGTCATCCACTGAGGGGTGTTGGAATGTATCCCCTTCAAATAAGAGGGGACTGCTTTATATGAAAAATGCTCAAGATCACCAGGGAAATGTAAAATAAGATCACGATGAGATAATTACCTCACATCTGTTAGAATGGCTTTCTCCAAAAAGACAAAAGGTAAGTGTTGGTAAGGATGTAGAGGAAAGAGAACTCTTATGCACATAAAAAAAAGAATCCTGACTTTTATTTGAATTCATTATATACTGCCCAGATTACAATATATAGCTTCCATGTATTGGTCTCTTCCCTCTGCGATCACCACTTACCAAATGATGGTTCTTCCTTATTTGAGGCCTCTGACAGAAAAAAAACTAGAATGAGATTTGGCATCACAACAAACACATCCCCAGAGACGTTAAGTTAAAAACATGTTGATATTGATCAATATGTTTATCAAAACATTAAGTTGTATATACTTTATACTTTAAATAGATAAATTTTTATTAATTGAACTTTAGTAAAGCCAGAAAAAAAGAATCAACACAAAATACTCAAATCAAAGATGGTGTAAAGATAAATGTAAAGGTCAAATTCACATAAAGGCATGTTGCCAAGGTAGGAAAATAAATATCAACCAAAAAATAACCAGAACCTGGGAAAACACAAACTAGAAAATGTGAAGGGAGGGAAGTACTGAAATACAAACAAGGGACGTGCTTCAAAAAATTCAGAAAGAATAAAATACAAAACTAGCTTTCAACAAAGCAAAGGAGCGTTATGTTCTTTGAAACCACAATGAAAGGGGCGTGAGCACCTTGTCTGTTAAGCTTTTTGAAGGCATTGAATTTGCTTGCTCTTTAACTCATATGTCAATCTTCCATAGTGTTATATACGGTCTTCTTAACTCTGCCTGAGTATGATAGTAGGAATAATTGTTACAGCCACTGTAACAATTTTTAATTCTGTTTCCAAATACTGCACATGAATGTGTGGGTTAGTGAATGGCTGGGTGTGCTACTCGTATCATTTTTTCCTAGACATTTTCATTCCCTTGTACACTCTTGGTAGGAAGATAAATTGGTGTAGCCATTATCGAAAGCAGTATGGAGGTCTCCCAAAAATTTTAAAATAGAACTTCCATATGACCCAGCAGTCCCACTTCTGGGTATGTATGCAAAGGAAGTGAAATCAGTATGTGTAAGAAATGTCTGCACTGTCATGTTCAGTGCAGCAGCATTCACAGTAGCCAGGTTAGGAAAGCAACTTAAATTATTGACAGAGGAACAGATCATAGAAATGTGGTACATATCTCCAGCGGAATATTATATGCCTTTAAAAAATGAAGGAAATTCTGTCATTTGCAGCAACATGGCGGAACAATTTTTCTAAATGAAATAAGCCAAACTCGGAAAGACAAATACTGTGTGGCATCACTTATATGTGGAATCTTAAAAAGTCCAACTCCTGGAAGCAGAGTGTAGAATGGTGGTTCCCAGGGGTTGTGGTCGGGGTGGGGGGAGATGGGGTGATGTTTGTCGGCAGATCAAAAGTTTCAGTTATGCATAATGAGTGAGTTCTGGAGATCCGTGTGGTCGCTATAGTTAATAATACTATATCATAAACTTGACATTTGCTAAGAGTAGATCTTAAATGTTCACACCTCACACCTAAAGGAACTATATGAGGTGATCTATGAATTTGCTTGTTTGTGGTAATCATTCCACAATGTATATGTATATCCAAACATTATGTTACATATACTTTATATAAATTTTTACTGATTATACTTCAGTAAAGCTGGAAAAAAAGAATCAACACAAAATTAATAAAGTAGGCTTCCAAAATGTTTTTTTTTAAAGAGAGAGAATATCAATGAGAATGTGAATGCAAGAGTGACATGAAGGAACCACAACTCTGAATGATAGTACTTTCTTGTTTAAACTTGAGGTTAAAATTGTAGAGGAGCTGGTGAAAGGTGTTTGAAAGGTGTTTGGGCTGGAGCACACCTGCTCAGTCAGAATTTTCAGTTAGCACAAGGTAATTACCAGTTGCAAGTACCCCTGCTAGGTAGGTCTGCCCCACTGAGGCAGTGGGGGAGGGAGATGCACAGATGGCTCGCACAAGTTACCAAAAGATGAGAAGAAGCTTGTGCACAGCAACATTATTTGTAACAGCCAAAACCTAGAGCCAGTCCAAATGCCCATCAGCAATGGAACAGCTAAATTATGGTGTGTACATAAAATGGATTATTATATACGGTAAAAACACAGGATCAGTTGCATAACATATAACGAGTGAAAGAAGTCAGACACAAAAGAATGTATACTCTAATTTCATTTATTTAATTGAAAAACCAGACAAAACCGATCTGTGGTGTCGCAGCAGAGTGTGGTTACTTAGGGGGAGGGCAGGACATCATGGGAGGGGCACAAAGAGGACGTCTGTGGGTTGGTAATGATATTCTTCCTGTTGTCTGTCTCTTCGTCCTCAGGGCTTCGACCTCTGTCATCACTTCTCTTTCTTTGCACTCCACAAAGACACATGCATTCAGTTGCCCTGAACACATCTGAATTGTTATCCCAGACTTTTCTCTCCTAACCTCAGGACAAGTATTTCAAAAAGTCTCCTTCAGAACAGTCATCTCCCCAGATACTCTGGGGGAAAGGAAAGAAAGCAAGCCAGGTTCACAGTCAAATCATTTTGGGAAATACACTTCTTCACTTGTAAATTCAGTGGACAATAACATGTTAAAGGCTCCTGTTTAATTGTGCTTAATCGAATGTCTCTGCGACGTCTTTTTCCTGGGAGTCTTTTGTTTTTGCCCTTTCACAGTCCCTGTGGCCCTAGTGGAACACACTTTGGGGATGACTGCTTCTGACCCTTTCAGCCTTCCGTATCATGGACACCTGCCTCTTGCCTACTCAGCTGGCTCTTTCACTCACTGCCAGCCTGCCTGACTTCTGTTTCCCTCTGTGGCTCCTAGCAGCAGTTTGTTTAAGGTTTCCTAAACATCCTGAGCAGAACCAATCCTTGCCTCATCCCATAGAATAGCTCTGTGCTTTATATTGCCTTTTATTTACCTGTGTACCTTTGAGAACCAAGCTAGGTAGAAAATGAAAGCCTGGGCTCCCATGCTATCCTCAGCTGTTGCTCTCCTAGCAGGTGCTTCACTGAACTGTGTATAGCTGTTATTTGTCTCTCCTCCCTACTTCATGTACTGTGCTCCATCTCTCTGAGGCAGAAAAGCTCTCTTTGATTTTATAGCCCAAGTGCTTAACTATAGGCTCAGTCTGGACCTGGAGCTAGATGGCCTCAGTTCAAATCCATGTGCATCACTTAGGAGCTTTACGACATTGAAAAGCTACTTAACTTCTTTGAGCTTCAGTTTTCTCACTGGAAAATGGAAATAATAGCCTCTATGTCATTGGATTGGTGAGGGGACTGTATGAGGAAATGCTTGTACAGCACTTAGAACAGTGCCTAGCACAGAGTGAGAACTCCTTATAGGTGAGCTTTGTTATAATTATTACGTAATAGTAGACAGATAAATGGACAGTTAGGTGAGTAGATTGATGACAGACCTGTGTAGTCCCCTATTCTTGGCTAATCATAGGTGCTAGTGTTGGCTGAATTGAAATCTAGTGAAATGCCTTTTTAAATGTATATCTAATTCTAACACGGGGCAAATAAGAGAAAAGCATCTCACTAGATAATAGTGATATAGTATCTCATTATATGTTGTTTCATAAGGGAGTTCTTAGTGATAGACAGGAAATTTGGTGGTTTGTCTTCTCTTTCTACCTTCTGATAGTTACCTCCATCTCTGCTTCCCTATGAATTTTCCTTAATCGTTCTTAACAGCAAAAGGATATTAAGTTGATATCCTTTACCCTGCTTTGTTGAGAATATTAGCACTAAAACTATGTAAACAGTCATGACAGAGTCAGTGGCCTTTCTAATTCTGAATGAATCTGCAGATCAGTTCCCGCAACGTGTGCTTACATCTAAGTGTAGTGATATTTTCCATTCCTTAGAAATTTGCTTTTTCATTTCAGCAAACTTCTTTTGCTTAAATATTCACCTGGAAGAGAGTAACTTGGCTGAGTTTGGTATTTTTTTATCTAGGATAAAGAATAAAACATGTCACTTGTTTAGTGTTTCTAACTTACCAAAGGAAAGATGTGTGTGCTTCTCTTCCTTATGTGCAGGCGCCTCGTTCAGAAGCTGTCACTGTCCTTGGCTCTCTGGTCTGCTTTCCAAACACCTACCAGGAGATTCCTTTACTGCAGTCAGTGCTAGAAGTAAATGAGGCCATTACAGGAACTGCAGATACCAAGGTACGTAATGCGGTTGACTGAATCTCAAGTTTAGCACTTTCTATAATTCTAGCTGTATGATTATCTCTTTCATTAGTATATATTAATCTACTTATTCCTGAAGTTTGGCTGTATCTTTTAAATGTTTCAATAGTTGTTTTTATAAGGCTATTCATGGGCTATACGTGTGTTAAATTCAGAGCATATTGCAGTTGGACCTTATAGCTATAATAGCAGGTGTTGTTTATTATACCTGTTTATTGGGCCTAAGGGTCACAATCATGTAGTGAATTGCCTGTTGTAATAATTTTATTAGCTTAATTAACTACATTAGTGAATCAAGTTAATTTAAAAGAAATAATGGAAATAAACTGAATATTCAATCCGATTGTCAGCCTGATTAAATACTGCTAGTAATTTGAGAGTCTAAATTATTTATTGGAGAATAAAAGTAAGCACTGGTTCTCTCCTCAGCTGACTTTGAGGTAAACAAAAATGCTTTTAGAATCCTTGAATCAATTAAACTATAAAATATCATTACAGTATATAATTCATTGTACAACATATAATCCAGTTAAAGTAAAAGAAAACCGAGATTTTTCTATCTAGAATCTCATTTGCTTTATACCAGAAGCACTCTACTCCTGCAGGCTGAATGGCCCAGGGAGGCCCTGTGGAGACCCTCATCCTCCACCAGCCGCTCCCCAAAGCGTTCTTCTTCCCCCAGGCTCTCACTGATAGATGAGCTCCCTGAGCTCCCCGGTCGAACTTCAGTAGCTCCCGGCTGCCTGGAACATGGTCAGAACATGTGGGAAACCAACTGTGACACAAAGTTTTTATTTTACTTAATTTTGTGTTTTTAGCATTACCTCATAAATATTTTACTGAAGAATGCCACAGAAGAACCAAATGAATATGCAAGGTAAATGTTGAATAAGAGGTAAACTGTTTTAGAATTTTAAGATACACATTTATGTGTAAGTAGTTAATGTTACAAAAAAAAAAAACTTATTCTTTCACATAACTCTTACACAGGCTGAAAAGTATGGGAAGAGTAATGCCAGGAAGATGCTTTGCATAATTATTTTCAAAAGTGTCATTATTAAGTGAAAATTGTAAAGTACGGAAGAGTATACATAGTACACTATTTTGTGTGAGAAAAAGCAAGATTACAAATATATTCATGTATCATATTTTCAAGAAGAAAGAAAACAAAAATATAATCCAAATATTTATAGCAATGGTGTATGCGTAGGGTAGTGACTCTCAACCAGTGATGATCTTTTACACCAGAAGACATTTGGCAGTGTCTGCTAACATTTTGGTTGTTTCTGCCAGGCAACTGAGATTGCTAGCAGCCTATGGTCAAGATAGGAGATTTTCTGGGCCACTTATGTGATGAAAAAGTTTCTGCCTGTCCTCCCAAGGTGAAGACCAAAGCTGAGAATGCTGATGGAGGGGAACACTTGTCTCTGATCCTCAATGTCAAACCCCATAAGGTCACCAGAGGGCCAGCTCAGCCTAACTCCCTCCTAGGAATGGTTCATGTCCTGCTCCCTCTGTAGTCTCATTCCAAGACAGCAGCCCATCAGTCATCACTACCTTGTCAGCTATTTGATGATTTTCAGGGTTTTTTATTTTGTATTTTGTCTAATTTCTTTGGTATCTTCAATAGATGGGTTAGTCCAAATTTCCTGGTCTGCCATTACTAGAAGCTAAACTGATAATAATTCCCAAATATTAAGCTAACATTGCATTTTTGGATAACCCCAGCTTGGTTATCCTAGAGATCTGGCTTGGCTAATATTTTGTTCAGGTCCCATATTGATGGCCTGTAATTTTCCTTCCCCATCCTTCCCTTATCAGATTTGATTATAAGGTTATAAACTCTCACAAAATGAGTTAAGAACGATTTCATTCTCTTTAGTCAGAAAGAGTTTTTGCAAAATTAGAGTTAATATTCTTGTGTAGTTAGTAGACCTTGATGGTAAAACTACCTTTGATAAGAAGGTTCACCACTGACTCATTCTCTTCCATAATTTTAGTACTATTAAGGTTTTCTTTTTCTTCTTCTTCTTTTTCTTGACAGTATTGATAAACCAAACTTTTCTAGGAATTTGTCCAATTTCACCTAAATTTTAAAATATACTGATCTATGAGTTATCTCTATTATCTTTTCTCTCTTTCACTTAAGTGGTTACGTTCACTTTTTAATCTTTGACACGTTTTGTGTATCCTAAGTAGTTTTGCCAAAGATTTGTCAATTTTATTAGTCTTTTCCAAGACTAGACATTGTCTTTGTTCAACTTCTGTATTTTATATTTGCTCTTATTTCCTACCTTCTGCTCTTTTCTGTCCTTCCTTTTACTTTCCTTACAATCTTACCTTTAAGGTTATATATTTATTCTTACTTTTAAGGTTATATATTTAGTATATTAATTTCTTCTTTACAAATATAAACATTTAAGACTATATATTTATTTCTAGTTACTACTCTGTCTGAATTTTATAGGTATCTTTTTATTACTTATGTCTTAGTTAATTGCATTGTGGATCAAAATATCTTACAGCAGTCTTTGATGTTGAAATTTGATTAATTGCCCACTAGGTAGTCAGTTTTTGTCAATATCCCATATAAACTTGAAAAAAAGTATGCCCTGTTCTTTGTTGAGCATAGTCTTCTAGTTGTGTTTATTAGATTACATTTTTAAATCCTAGGCTTCAGATATTTTGTATCCTGTCTGATTTTTTTCATCAGCTTGATCACCTTCTGGAAGAAAAATGTTAAAATCTCCTGCTATTATAATGTGTTTATGTATTTCTCCTTATATAATGTCAATTTTTGTTTTATATACTTTGAGGCTATGTGATTAGTTGCATAAAAGTTTAGAATTGTCCTGTATCTATAGTGAAACAAATATTTTATATTTTTGTAGTGACTCTTTATTTCTAAGGAGGAATTTTTTATCTTGAAGACCACTTTGATATTGGTTTAGCTGTTTTTAAATAATGCTTTCTATTCCTTTTAATTAACTTTTTTGTATTCTTCATTTAGATGTTTTTGCAAAAACTGCATATATCCAGATTTTATAATTTTATCCCATCCAATCTTTATTTTTTAACTGAAGCTTTAGATTCATGTACATTTGTTATAATTACTGATCTGTTTGAATGCACTTCTTTTATTGTATTTTATATGTTATTTTTTATAGGATCTTTCTTTCCTATTTGAAATAAAGTATAATATTTATTTTATTTCTCCTTTATCTTGCCTTCATTTTCCCATCCCCTGTTTTCCTTCCTTCCTTCCTTCCTTCCTTCCTTCCTTCCTTCCTTCCTTCCTTCCTTCCTTTCTCTCTCTCTCTCTTTCTTTCTGATTTTTTTTCCATTCCATTTATTACCACAATTGTTTTTAAGTCATAGTCTCCCTTTTATTCTTTTAGAGGTTATGCTCCATATTTGAACATGCGTACTTACCAAGTCCGCAGCTAGTCTTTTGTTACTCTCTTCCTGAACAATGCGTGTTCCTCAGAACATAATTTCCTGATTTTGCTCCTGCCTCATTGAACTTTCTCCTTTCTGTCTCCTTTGCTGAACTCTCCTCCTCTACCTAACCTCTGATGAATGTTAGAGTGACTCAGAGTTTAGGGCTGGGCCTGTTCTCTCTATGACTTCCTGGGCACTCTTATTCTAATCAGCCTTTAAATACCATCTTCTTACTGATTTATTTACTTGCCTCTTCAGTGAGCCCCTTTTATATTCAGGCTTATATATTAAACTGCCTACTGGACATCTCATCTTGAATGTTTTAACACAACCGTAACTGAACCCTTGAGTCTGCTTCTGACCTTTTCCCGCAGCTGACTGTCCCTCAGATTTCATCTTACCACATGACCCCACCATTCCCCCAGGGTTTTCAGTTCAGAAATTTAGAGAAAACCCTTGATTTCTTCTTTTTCCTACACCTGCTGCATCTAAACCATCAAGTCTTGGCAATTCTCCTTCCTTTCTCTTTCTTTAATGTAGAAAGCCAAATTTCTATGTAGTTAAAAACAGAATAGAAATGTATATGGCATGGTTGGCTTTCCGTGAAGAATATCTGGTCCCAGCACATCGTTTGGAAGAAATAACAGTGATAATAAATTCAGCAATTTATTTTGAAAGTTGTATTTAAATATACTTTAAAATATAGCGTTTGTTTTGTTTGTGGTAGGTATTGTGCATATTATTGTAAAGAAAACAATTATAAACTCAATTTTCGACAGTTTTCTCAGATTCGTGTTTTTTATTCTTCAAAAATATCTTGAAACAATAAAATATAATAGCCATTAGTTTTAACAAAACTAAGTGATGTACAGGCTGTGACAACAGAAAATATGCCATTTGTTTTGTTAAATATTTAAGTGCTAAACTATTTCAGTATTTCTGTTTGTCCTGAAAATTGGCCTATTGAGGGTTCTTTTATCTTTTCTTTCAAGAAGACATTTTGCTAATAGATTTGTAATTTTTGCTATTTTGTATGAACCGATTTAAAGTGTTGTGTTATTTGAAAATACCGAGGAAGTATATCAAATTTCATGAGAATTTTCCTCTGTTTTCTTCTTTTTAAAAAGATGCATTGCCATTTGCTCCCTTGGAGTCTGGATATGTGAAGAGCTTGCACAGCGTACAAGCCACCCTCAGGTGAAAGAGGCCATCAATGTGATAGGAGTAACTCTGAAGGTATTACCAGTTTGTGGTGTCGATTGGATATTAAGCCATATCTCAGGCATTTCACTGAGTTTGAATTAGCCCCATCTTTTTTCTCCCCCTAATTGCAGAGGGACTGTGAGTCCCATTGCTCTCTGAGAGCCATGGTAAATGTGCCGTGAAGCTCTCGGGAGGGGCACCAATGGCTGCTCCCCTGCTGGCCGCTGTGGCCAGGCTGCCAGTGTCTCCTCCAGTGTTCCTGGACCAGTGGCCAAATGGGGTTCCTCTGGTGGCTGGGAAGCTCCTGTGGCAAGGAGGACACCTGTCACTTGTTGGTGGGGGTGATAAGAGAGTGAGATCTTGTGCTCTGGCTTCTTCAGCAGGCCTGGGAGAGGCCTCCACAGCTTCCAGTTAGGACCCTCCGTGTTTATCATCTGGCCAAGTTTTGAGCACTTGCAGGACATCTTTCTCTCTTTGCTTTGCTCATAAGAAGTACTGGGCACTCACACTAGGTCAGAATAATGACGAGCTCTAATACTTCTAAATACTTCTGTTAATCTTCAAGACAGCTCTGCAAGACAGATGTTGCAATTTCTGTTTTATACCAGAGGAAATCAAGGCCCAGAGAAATTAGGTGACAAGCCCAACGCTACACAGGTATAAGTGATGGAACCAGCAATAAAAACAGATCTGAGTGGCATTAAAGATATGCATGTGCTGTTAGGCTGCCTCTAAGCCAAAGCTCAAATCCTGCTGAGTCCTTTCCTGGCTCTTGCTTGGAAATGGTGGTAATAAATAGCATTGCCGTTATCACACTTAGGGAACCAGTGAGTGCCTAGTCTCTGCCAGGTGCTGTGCTGAGGGTTTTATGGAAGTTCTTAGTTCAGGGGTCAGTGTCCTAGTAGGGGAACTGAGGTACAGGAGAGTTGAGGAACTTGTTCAAGGCTCTAGAATGACCACCTCACTGAACCAAAGTTCAACCCCTGAACCATCCACCTAACACCAGCATTCAGGCTGCTGCTGGCCCTTCTGTGCCACCTGCCACATGCAGCTATAATAGCAATGGTACTTACCACTGATGCTTGGGACAGTCACCATCAGGTTAGCAACGGCTGCTGTGCCACCCTTTGTGTGTTTTCTGAGTCTGCCCAGCCAGTGCTGTCCCCCACCCTTGGCTTGGCGTCTAGCCCCTGCCTGACCAAACTCAATGCCTCTTGTTCCCCAAGTACACCCTCTGACACCCCCATTGCCTCGTCCTCCCCTATTTCTCCTCCACAACACCTGGAAGTGGAGGTGGGGGAGCTTGTTGTGTTTTGGGAGCTGGAAAAACACTTGCTGCTGATCCCTGTGATGAGGAATGGAAAAATGATCCAAGCGCAATATCATGGAAGAGTGCCCCTCCCACCACACAGCAGGGTGCCGACCCCTGACATTTGTCGGCTGGTTTAATCCTCAGAGCTGCCCTATGAGGGGAAGCATCAGTGCCACCTCCACTTTACAGATGAGGAAGATGAGCTGACCAGGAGCCGAAGGAACTTGCCAAAGCCAAACCCAGAACACTCTGGCCACATGCATGGAGTTTTGCACAACTGAGGTGTGCAGGATACCTCCTGACTCCCAAAGCCATGGAGAAATATTTGCATAGAATTATTAAGGTGGAAACAAGTGGGCTATAAATTATATATCAATGTGGATCCCTATTCATTTTTAAATACACTTTTTCAATTCTAAGATCTATTTTTAAATTTTTAATTTTTCTTAAATCTAGATGTATATAGTCAGTGTAAGGTGGTTTCCCTCATCTCTACCCCTTCCGTGGAAAAACTATTAATAACTCAGTGGTGTCTTAGAATGAAGGAAATGCACACACACACACACACACACACACACACACAGTCACGCATCGCATAGTGATGGGGATATGTTCTGAGAAAAGTATCAGTAGGTGACTGCATTGTTGTGTGAACATCATAAAGAATATTACAGAAACGTAGATGGTTTTTGGACTGTGTGGTATGGCCTGTTGCTCTGAGGCTATAACCCTGTGCAGCACGCTACTGTCCTGAATACTGTAGGAACTAAATGTTGAATTGGAACACACTGACAAGTACTCGTGTATCTAAACATGTCTAGACATAGAAAAGGTACAGTAAAAATATAGCAGTACAAGTGTATGGGACCAGCATTGTATATGTGGTACTTACTGAATGTTTCCCAAAACATGGTTAGGAGGTACATAACCATATGTATATATATTTCTATATAATATAGGAAAGAGATAGAAATTGATAACAGAGTAGAGGGATAGATAGATTTTCTCAAATTTTTGCAACTTTTCTATATTATGCAGGGAAATATAAGACACCAGAAAAACAACATGGTTACCACGTATTGAGCTCTCACTCTGTTCGCTGTCCCAGCACAGCATGGAAATTGTCCTTTGAATCCCCACCCTCTGGATAGCAACAAAAGAGGACTGAGGAAAGTCAAATAACTGGCTCCAGCTTGAATCGCTAAGAAAGTAGAGGGATCAGGATGCAGCCAAGTTGTTCTGTCTTTAACCATTATTAATAACAGGAAGCTCACTGACTTAAGTCCTGGTCTCTGGGGACACCTCCCTCCCCGCTTCCCTCCTTCCTTGCCTCCTTCTAGTTCTTGTGTTGTTGTGCCAACTGGGTTGTTTTAACTAAGGACATAGCACATAAATTGAAGAACTGAGGACTGGAAGGGAAAGCATTTCTACAAGGAAAAGGAGAACAGCCACCACTGTGAGAACAGGGGACTCTAGGAGGCTTTGGGGCGGTGCCAGGAGGGAGAGAAATGGAGAAAGAGGCCTGCCTGGGTTTGCACTCTCCACTACCCACACATCAGGCTGGAGCTGGGCTGGGGGTGGGGCCGAGGCCCCCATTGCCTCCTCTCCATTTTTCTCCCTCCTGGCAGAGCCCCAAAGCCTCCTAGAGCCCCCTGTTCTCACAGTGGTGGGTGTAGTGGAGAGCACAGACCCCGGCAGGGTTTCCTGCTTTACAGGCTCCACATAAAGGCAGCACCACCTCACTTGTAAGCACCTTTCAGAAATGCCCTGCAAGGGTGACCTAGATATGCCCGTGGATGTGCAGAGCATTCCACTTAGCAACGTGTTGGTTGGCTGGTTTGTTTATGGTGGGGTAGCAGATGGATGGCGGGCATGGGGTGGTTAGGGGAGGTGCTGCTAAGCCACAGCCATACTCACCAACTCTTGTGAGCTATCCAGCCCTGCTCTTTCTCCTACCCTGTCTTCCACGACATCACTGACTTTCCTTTTCTTCCTTACCCCACTGCTGTTTCTGGCTTTGAGTCCTGCCAGTTGTACTTCCTGAAGGCCCATGGTTCATCCCACCCACGGCCCGAGTTCATCCGTCACATAGCTCACCCTGCCAACACTGAGCCTCCTGGTCAGAGTCACCAGTCCTAGACTGACCCCCACAGATCACTGTTTATACCACTGTCAGAGTGATCTGTCAACAAACAGGCTGACCAGTACGGCCTGCAGGCGGAAGAGCTCAGCATGGCACCCTGTCGGTACTCTGTATGTATGTACTCTATGCTGGATGAGTGAGAGAGCAAATTAATGGCTTATTTCATCTCCATCATTCCCTACCTCCTTCATTACATGTCAGTAACACCACCCTGCTGGCAGTCCCCTGTATCTGACCAACCTTTCCTTACCTCGGTGCCTAGGCCCTGCCACTCATGCCTGGAAGGAGACCCCAAATCCCCACTTGCATTCTTCCAGGTGCGCCTTAGCTCTCTTCTCCCTCCATGATCCCTTCTCTCTGCCTGTTCTCCCCCAAGCCCTGTGTCCTACCCCTCTCTGTCCATAGCCTTTTGTCTTGTCTGTCAACTCTTAGAATTTTCCCTAGTCTGTTTCCAGCTTCTTGAGTTCAGAGCTTTGCCAGCCTTCTCTCTCCACCTGGTGACTCTACCACTGTGGTGCAGCAGCAAGACACACAGTGCCCACTCACGTTCTCCCACTCCCTCAGAGCTTCATCTTCACCTGAAGCATACCACACGCATCCTCAAGGGGGCCATGCTAGGCATGAAAGATACAGCAGTGAACAATATATGCAGGAAAATAACAAACAAAAAGGTCACCTCTGATAGCCTGTAATGCCGTGAAGGAAATCTAATAGGGGAATAGGATGAAGCTGAAGAACTAAGGGGTGGGCTGCCACTCAGCTCTTAGGTAGGTGTGGTGGCCTTGGGGAGGAGATGACATTTTTGTGCCACAATTTGAAAGATCTAACAGTGCAAGCCACATGCAGACTGGGGATTAAGTGTTCCAAGTAACGTTGGGAAGTAGCAGGTGCAAAGGCCATGGGGCAGAAGCAAGCCAGAGTGTTTGAGAGATGGAACAAGGCCGGTGGAAATCGGATCATCTGGGATATGGGGTCTCTGGCCAGGGAAGGCTGTGAAGAGCCCCTGAGTGCAACTACTAGCCCGGGGTTTAGCTAGCGCCTCTCAAGTAGGGGTAGTCAGTAATTGTTTATTCTGCAGAATTAAAATGATCACCTTTCCCTCACCTTCTTCCTTATTCTGCACAGTGGTCAGTGGGGCACTGAACATTGATGGTGTCTGCTTCATGTGGCTTAGAGTGAGGTGTCCCTAGACTAGGGTCAGTGATGAACCTTTTCTGCCCTAGATAATGAGATGTGGATAATGGTGTAGCCCATGTTCTGGCCAGGGAGAAAAGCAGAGGGTGCCCTCTTCCCTTTCATGCTCTCCCAGCATGAAAAAGTAAGACCTTGAAGGTGCTGCCCTTAGACATGCTGCCTCACAATAAATGGAAGCCTCCAGACCTTGGTGGTGACTTAAGACGCATGCCAGCCTCAGGAAATAAATGCAAAATAATTGAGTATACCATAATTCATTAGTTATCTTCTCCTGCACTCTAATTTTACATACTCTTAGTATGTTATAGATACAGGTCAAGTTTTATTTCATAGGATAGAAAGTTGTTTGGTCAATCCCTGCTTCTGCATGTGTAAAATGAAAATAACATCTACCTTGCAGAGCTGTCAGTGAAGATTTATCAGTGAGAGAATGAGTAAAATGCTGGTAAAAGGTTCAGCGCACTGGGGGTACAGTTTAATTTTCTCTTGTTTTAAAAAATATGACTTATGTGAGCTGAATAAGAAATTTGAAGTAATGGTTTTAATTTCTAAATGATTAAACCAAAGCTCCTTGTTCCTGTAGAACATTATGTAAATTAACACAATGAGGCTAGAGAAGAGGCAGTTTTAGAATGGTGATGTGAAGATGTCTAAACTCTCTGGTAATAGAACATATTTTTCATCAATTTGAGGAGAAACAGATAAATATAATCTATAAGGAACTGGGAAGAAATAACTATTTTGTCCTTAAGAATGATGCAGCTGTTAAGTTATGTATCTGCTTCGGGATTCTGTTCCTTTTATAGTTTCCTAACAAAATCGTGGCCCAGGTAGCTTGTGATGTGCTTCAGTTGCTGGTTTCCTACTGGGAGAAGCTTCAGATGTTTGAAACTGCTCTGCCTCGGAAAATGGCAGAAGTAAGTCTTTTTTTCTGTAATACTAAAACATAAGCATTTCCTTTGTATCGTATTTGATATTTAATTAATTATAGATATTCAAATAGTTGTTAGAGAACTGACTATTAAATTGCCACAAGTCACTCGTTTTAAGATTAAGTTAGACTGGTTCTTCTCAGCTATGATTTCAGGCACTATGTAAAGAAGCCAGCAGTGTTCCAGGCAGAGGCTTATACTTGGGGAGTTTGAAAGGCAGTCACGACCACAACAAAGAGACCTTTTGTAGATTGGGCTTCATTCATCAAGAGCAATTTGGATGGTGCCAACAAGGAGTAGGCAGCTGGTTATGATGCCCTCCGTGAGGGGTGCAGGGGGTTGGCTGTTGTGTAAAACAGAAGTCTCTCCCAGACTAAAGCCCTGGACCACACTTTCTGCCCTAGCGTGATTACTGGTGTATTGAGATTGCTACCATGATAACCTCTGTGGGGGTAACTGGTGGGAGAGGGGTGGAAGGACTAGGAAGAATTGTCTCAACAGTCATATCCTGAAGGCCGCTTGCATCCAAGAGTGCTTTGCCTGTACACGAGCAGGCACCTTCACTCCCATAGGTGTCTTTGTGGGATAAGGCACTTCTACTACTGATTTTTATAGCTGCACTTTTAAAACATTCCCTGTTCTTTATACATCCAATGGTAACAGTTTGAGGAAATTTAATTTGTCCTCATGAAGCATTACAAGGAGAGAGAAGAAGTGATATTGACTTATATTCTCTCAGCCCTAGACAAATTTCACTGGAAAGATCACTTTGTTCTCAGATACATTAAAAGGCACAAGTGATTTTTGACCTGAAGTGACCTGGAGTGAACTGGAACTTTGGACATGGAAACATAAAATGCTCTGAAATGGAAAGTAGAGTTTTGGGGTGATGATGTAATTTATCTTCTAAATGGGACTGCTTTTGAGAATGAAAGGGGTGCTGTTTACACCAGGACAGCAGGTGGAGACTTAGGGTAATTTATAGTAAAATTAAATGGGAGCATTTTCATAATTAGTTTTGAAAGTACTTTTTACTTCACTGTGAAAATTGTGGATACTGATGTTAAGAATTATGTGAGGCCAGGCGTGGTGGCTCAGGCCTGTAATCCCAGCACTTTGGGAGGCCGAGGCAGGTGGATCACGAGGTCAAGAGATCGAGACTATCCTGGTAAACATGGTGACACCCCATCTCTACTAAAAATACAAAAAATTAGCTGGGCATGGTGGCACCTGCCTGTAATCCCAGCGACTCAGGAGGCTGAGGCAGGAGAATTGCCTGAACCCAGGAGGCGGAGGTTGCGGTGAGCCGAGATTGTGCCATTGCACTCCAGCCTGGGTAACGAGAGCGAAACCCCATCTCAAAAAAAAAGAATTATGTGACTGCAGAGAGAAATAGTCTTTTCTCTGCTCACCCCACCACCTCAATTTTTCCACCTGTAAAGTAGTGTAGAAACTAGGCGTGGCTCCATTGCCTTCTCTTAATTTTCAAGATTACCACACAGCTGGCCCTCTGCTTTGTTTCACCTTTCTCTCATGAGTTGGCACCAAGCGGGGCTTAGTTGCAAGGCCACTGTGGGACTCCTAAACAGAGGCTTACAACGCTTTTAATGTTGTCTGTTTGATTGGGCTTATCTTTTATGCAGATCCTTGTGGCCACAGTTGCTTTTCTTTTACCAAGTGCAGAGTACTCCTCATTGGAAACAGACAAGAAGGTAGGTGGCACATGAGTTAAGATTTTCCTAGAGTTTTTAAAAATTTTAATGTAGGGTAGAATGATAAACCATGTTACAACTAGTGATATCCTTTGTAATATTCTTCTGCATTGGCCTTCACAGTTTTTTCTGTGAAAATGCTATTTATTTACTTACCTACCTATCTAGCATCTGCATGTCCATTGAATAACTACTATATGTAGGGACAATTGTCTTGTTTATTATTAAATGTAGTGAGGTTTCAGAGACTACAGCGTAAGTTACTGGGCATGTTCTTCTTCCAGTTTATTGTGTCCTTGCTACTCTGCCTCTTGGACTGGTGCATGGCATTGCCCGTGAGTGTCCTTCTCCACCCAGTGTCCACGGCGGTCCTAGAGGAGCAGCACTCGGCCAGAGCACCCTTGCTGGATTATATCTACAGGGTGAGTCTCTGCCTGGGCCTGGGGGAATGCAGTATAGGTTTATATGCCAGACAATCACCAAAATATGTTTTATGCATGTACTTATATATCATTGCCCTTTTGAAAAGGATTTATGGTGACTTAAACTTTTTCTTAAAAAGTAAATAATTGGCCAGGCGCAGTGGCTCACGCCTGTAATCCTAGCACTTTGGGAGGCCGAGGCAGGCGGATCACAAGGTCAAGAGATCAAGACCATCCTGGCCAACCACATGGCGAAACCCCATCTCTACTAAAAATACAAAAATTAGCTGTGCCTGGTGGCATGTGCCTGTAGTCCCAGCTACTCGGGAGGCTGAGGCAGGAGAATTGCTTGAACCCAGGAGGCGGAGGTTGCAGTGAGCCAAGATCATGCCACTGTACCCCAGCCTAATGCCTGGCAACAGAGCAAGACTCTATCTCAAAAAAAAAAAGTAAATAACTTAAGCGCCGAAAGCAGAACAGAACAGATACAAAGAAGCAGTGGTTACCAAGGTAGAGATGTGTGCATTTTACATGACTGTCATGTTTAATCTTTAAACAACCTCAGTTTGGTCAGAATTCTTCAATTTTCATGAAATATCGTCTGTGTCTACTTAATTTAAAAAAGAACTGTTCACATTATAGGGTTATCTACATTAATTTTTTTCCCTAGGGCAAATAGCTTCTTTTAAAAAAATTAATTTGCTTTTTTTCAGGGTACATTTGATAATTTGATACATTTCCGTAATAAAATCAGGATAATTGGGATGTCTATCTTAACTATTTATCTTTATGCTAGGGACACTGGAATTATTCTCCTCTAGCTATTTTGAAATGTACAGTTGATTAATGTTTACTATAGCTACCCTACTGTCTTATTTCATTTATCTAACTGTATATTTGTATACAGCATTAGTTTGACAAAATCTATTTATCAAAGGAAGAAAAAGGTTTAATGGTCTCAGTAATCATTTTGCCTCAAAAAAATCTTAAGAAATAAGTTAAGGAACTATGTCACATTAAAATAATTAGCTTCATCATTTTTATAGCATTTAAGATATTCTTATTTAGCCCTCCAGCCCTTACCCTCACAGGTACACACTGATGACTAGGTGTGGCATTTGCTCTGGATTGCTTATAATATCCTCTGTAATTTGTCTTACCTTGGCTGTTTGTTTGTTTAGCATTTCCATGTCCACTGAATAGTTACTATCATGGAGGGAAAATTCTGTAGTTTATTCTTTTAGTAACAAACCTTTAATAATAAAAAAGAGTCCAAGTCACAGACTGATTACTTTTATTGCCTTATTTTTAAAAGTATTCAGTTTTTCTTTTTAAAAAAGCCACCTAATTGTGGTTTAAATTCTACTAAAATGTATTTGTGTATTCTTAACTGTTTCTTCAGTGTCAAAGATTTTAATAACTATATTAGGATTAATTAGATACTTATGTTATTTTTGTGGCTCATAAACAGAGCTTGTTTGGGCCAACTACATTAGCCACAAACACTTATGTAAATCTCTTTTCTGAGTTTGTTCTTTTCTTAAAGATTAATCCCAGCACTTTGGGAGGCCGAGGCGGGTGGATCACAAGGTCAACAGATCGAGACATCCTGGTCAACATGGTGAAACCCCGTCTCTACTAAAAATACAAAAAATTAGCTGGGCATGGTGGCGCGTGCCTGTAATCCCAGCTACTCAGGAGGCTGAGGCAGGAGAATTGCCTGAACCCAGGAGGGGGAGGTTGCGGTGAGCCGAGATCGCGCCATTGCACTCCAGCCTGGGTAACAAGAGTGAAACTCCGTCTCAAAAAAGAAATATATATATATATATATATATATATAATATTGCTTTACCAATATAAAAGTTACCTCATAGTAAACATAATTAATAAATTTACTAAATAACTGGGGTTTTCTTGTATTTTAAAAGGAAACTTTTAATTGAAGTATAATATGCTTCCAGAAAATTAGCTTGATGAATTTTTACCAAGTGAGCATTCCTGTAAAATCAGAGCCAAGATTGGGAAGTGGAACATTCCTGGCATCCTAGACGCCTTCTCAGTGCCTCCTCCTAGCCATTGGCCTGATAACACATGTCCAGGGATAGCCGCTATCCCGTGTAACAGAGCAGAGTCGTTTTGCCTGTTTTGAACTTTATACAAATTGAATCATACAGTATGTGCTCTTGTGTCTGACATATTTCGCTCAACATTATTTTTGAGTGATTTATTCAAACTGTTGTGAATAGTTGTAGATTTTTCACTCTTAGTGATGTATAGTATTACACAGAATAAACCACAGTATATTTATCTATTTTACTATTCATAGACATTTGGGTAGTTTAGAGTTTTGGACCAATAAAATGTGAATATTGAGGTTTTTTTTGTGCAAATACATATGCATTTCTGTTGGGTGTATACCTAGGAGTGAAGTTGCTAGAGTACATGTATTCTGCCTTAGTAATGAACACCAAATAATTTTCCAAAGTAGTTGTGCTAGTTTACATATAACTCGGGACTTTAATGTACTTTTCCTACATTTATTGCATTTTGGCTACTAGAAATTAATTATTTCAGTGATTGCAGCACAATTTTTACATTAACAAGAGAGCTGCTATAAGGACTTTCCTATACTGCATTTTTTTTTTGCTAGGAAGAGGACATATTCAGGTGGTTGCCCTGACAACTATAATTCTTGGTACTTTGTAGCTGTGTACAAAGGGTGCCTGACCACAAGGCCTCTTGCCGTGTCAGCAAACCAAAGCTAGTCATCTAAAAGTGAATTTACTTTACAGCAATATATTTAACCCAATAGTGTTTTCTTATTTTCTCAAGTATTACCTTGATTCTTATAAAAGTCAGGATTTTGAGTTTATTATATTGAATTTATGATTAAAAAGGGAAATCAGTTACAATTATTACCTCTATTATGCATTTGGCATATTCAAGATGATTTGTGTTTGCATGTCTTGTATGTGTACAAAAGATCAAATGAGTAGATAGATCTTTAATCAACTGCAATTTGTAAAAAAACAGTGAACTCCCAGGAAACTAATCTTGTGAAAGTCAGAATAATTTAAAAATGGTGTTAAGTTAGCCCTTACAATTCATGGCGTCCTGAGTAATACTGATTTAAACTCATGACTGGTCATAACGGCACTAATGGTCTCTGCTTGCTGTGCTCATTCCCCTCTCCACCGTGGCTGGCCCATCCCACCACTACCCTTCAGCCCCGGATTAGTCCCTTCTACCTGTGTTGCCTTTGGTGAACAGGAGGAGGCCTTATGTGTGTGCAATCACACAGAATGTGGATAAGAACTTTTTAACTTTTACTTTTCTTTTGCCTTGAAATGTATTTCTTGGCATTGACATGAAAGAAGCAAAATAAATTTGCTAATAGCAAGAAGTATTTAAGAATGGAAATAAGCAATGTTTTCAAGTCTTACCAAGCAGGAGTCCTAGCTGCTAAGCACTATAGTAGTTCTGACATTGTCAGAGGGCATGAGGTAGGTAGCATCCATGGTGCACATGGCCTCTGTTTTCACAGGTTCTGCACTGCTGTGTGTGTGGCTCGAGCACGTACACCCAACAGAGTCACTACACACTGACCCTGGCTGACTTGTCATCCACGGATTATGACCCCTTCCTGCCACTGGCAAATGTGAAGAGTTCTGAGCCAGTCCAGTATCACACATCGGCAGAATTGGGTAACCTGCTGACTGTTGAAGAGGGTGAGTATTCTTTCAAGTATGAAATCTTGTGGGAAGGAAGAGGAAGGATTTAGCCTTTTGTTCATGCTTTCTGTACTATTTTTTTAAAAATCTAGTTGATAAAGTTGAAATCCTAGTTCCTGGAGTCCTCTGTGATGGCAAATTGTGCCTTGTTTCTTTTTTTTTTTTTTTTTTTCTTTATTTATTTTTCTCTTCTTTGTTTTCCCATTTTAGTGATTCAAATGGTTTTTTGTATTATTGAAGACAGGTATGTCTCAGATCCATGGAACTCGCAAAAATAGCCTCATTTTCCATCCTCAAGAAGCTTTACATCTAATGGAAAACACACAGTGAAGTCCAAAAGGACTCATTGTGGACTGGTAGGTAGCCCCATGAGGGCTTTCCATAAAGAAGGACTGAAGCCAGATTTAGCAGGTTGGGCAAGTGTTGAAAGGAGCTCATAGATTATTCCCGGTTAGGAGAACGTCATAAAAAGAGATGGAAATTTACTTCTTACAGTTTAGATTTGCTCTGCTCACAGCAGAGTCCCTTTGTTAGTATATGGGGATTGTCAGACTTAGAGCCTGCTGTATTTCTTACTTAAGCACCCCTCTCCCCAGAATGATAAGAGCCCAGTTTTAGGCCTTGGAATGGGAGTCAGAATGTGGGTGTATCGTCTATGCATATGATAAAATTGCATAGAACCAAACACACACACACAAATGCATACATGTAAAACTGGTGAGCACTGAATAATATAGATGGATTGTATCAATGTCAATTTCCTGACTGTGATATTGTCCTATAGATATGCAAGATATTACCACTGAGATAAAGGGTGTTTGAGGTCTCTATGTATTATGGATTACAACTACATGTGAATCTTCAGTTTTCTCAACACTAAACATTAAAAAAAGAAGGCCGAGCACAGTGGCTCCCACCTGTAATCCCATCACTTTGGGAGGCCAAAGCTAGTCGATCACTTGAGTGTGAAATCAAGGCTGCCGTAATCAGCGCCACTGCACTCCAGCTTGAGCAACAGAGTGAGACCCTATTTAAACAAACAAAAATTTTAAAGAGATATAGGTGTGAAGTGTTAGATCATCTGTGAAAACTTTATGGACTTTACAAGTTGAAAACTAGGCCCAAGATTAGAACCTTGTGGGTAAAGACATCCTTAAGGACAACAGAGTGAGGGAATGTCACCAGGAAAGCAAAGTCAGCGAAGTGGAAAAAGGACCAAGAAAGACTCATTTCTGGCAAGTCAAGGAAAGCAGTTAAGAAGTTGAGAAAGGTCAGCAGTGCTAGTTGCTTCAGAAAGCGTAGGAAAGGTGAGAATGAAACAGCTGTTTTATTTCCCAACTAGGTGTTCGGTGGTAGGTTTTGCCAGAGCACTTTTACCAGAGTGGTGGGTCCAGCCAGATGAAATGAGCAGGTGACCTGTGCAGTGACCACTCAGATCCCTGAATCAGACTTTCTTTTGTGAGTCCCTTGGTAGAAGGAGGAAGGCAGCAGGCAGTGGCCAGGTGAGGGAGGACGCAAGGTGCAGGGGTATGCTTGCAGCACTACAGAGTCTGGAGCAGGGTTCAAGCCAACATGAAGCGGGAGATGTGATGAGGAAGAAACATATAGGACTAGAGGTGACAGTCATGAGCAAGGGCTTAAAATCTAGCAGTCCTGACTTAGATGAGCAAACTGAGGTTAAGGGATATTCCCAGGGATGTGGACAAGTCCGCAGTAAGGAAGGGAGGTGGAATTTGAACCTAAGATTTAATAACCAAGTTCCTAAAATATATTATTTACTCTGAGATTTTTGCCATGGAATAGACTAAATACTCTTTGTTTTGAGTTGTGTTGCTGGTGGATAGTACATGGTTCATTTTCACATTGTTCTCTTGACTTGTTCTCCATATATTTAATCATTTAATTGTTTATTTCTGGAGTTCCACTGTCTGTTAACTGTAATGTCTGCTTGACTTTTTCCCCCATCATGATAAATTATTTTTATTCAGTAATTGAAATAACTCTTAATATATTTCTTTTGTTGTTTCCCACTGTAAGTTCATGTGTTATAGTAAAATTAACTTATTTTTTCCTAAAGTCATTAATTTATATTCACCCTACATGAATGTATCCCTAAAACATGGCTATCTCTAAAATAGGTTCACCATTTATTATGAGTTGTCACTTAAAAATAGCAGAAGATAGGCCAGGTGCGGTGGTTCACACCTGTAGGAGGCCAAGGCAGACGGATCACAAGGTCAAGAGATCAAGACCATCCTGGCCAACATGGTAAAACCCCATCTCTACTAAAAATACAAAAATTAACTGGGTGTGGTAATGTGCACCTGTAGTACCAGCTACTCTGGAGGCTGAGGCAGGAGAATTGCTTGAACCTGGGAGGCAGAGGTTGCAGTGAGCTGAGATCGCACCACTGCACTCCAGCCTGGGTAACAGAGCAAGACTCTGTCTCCAAAAAAAAAAAAAAAAAAAATGCAGAAGATAAATAGGTTTTTGAAAAAGAGAAAACCTAAAAATACACATTTAAATTCTTGTACCTTTTTTTTCAGTGTACAGTACTCTTTTACCTGAATACTTGTTCTCCAGAAAACCTCAGGAGCTGATGCAAACATTCCCAAGATAGTTCTAAAGTTCTAAAATTAATTGCTTAAATTTCTATGACAAACCAGTTTTTGAAATTCACTAACGTATTAACTAAGCAAATCGGCAAGATGATTAAAAACATACTGGTGTTGGCCAGGCACAGTGGCTCACACCTGTAATCCCAGCACTTTGGGAGGCTATGGCAGGCAGATTATGAGGTCAGGAGATCAAGATCATCCTGGCCAACATGGCGAAACCCTGTCTCTACTAAAAATACAAAAATCAGCCAGGTGTGGTAGCAAGCACCTGTAATCCCAGCTACCTAGGAGGCTGAGGCAGAATTGCTTGAACCCAGGAGGCGGAGGTTGCAATGAGCTGAGATCACACCACTGCACTCCAACCTGGTGACAGAGTGAGACTCTACCTCAAAAAATACCTCTTAAGAGAAATACCTAATGTAGGTGACAGATTGATGAGTGCAGCAAACCACCATGGCATGCGTATACCTATGTAACAAACCTGCACATTCTGCACATGTACCCCAGAACTTAAAGTATAATTTAAAAAAAACAAAAACACATTGGTGTGTACATGCTTGGTAAGTGGATACGTCATGTAGAGAGTGAAAAGAAAAAATAAAGGTGTAGTTTAGATATTTTAGGTTAAGCAAGAAAGAGCTCACATTCAAGGGTATTTTTTTCATTCAGTGTCATACTTCATCATCCGTATCATCCATAACAAAACTGTCTGTGGTCAGGGTAATGTTTCTGACAAACAGTATTACATTTAATCTATTGTTTCCAGTGATTCCTTCGTAGGTCACTACCTACTCTTTGATGTAATGACTACTTTCAAATAAAGTTACAAGCAAAAGACAATGTTCACCTATCCACAGCTGAGGTGGCCGCTGGCCCAGCTCAAAAGAAAGCCATTCGTGGCAGACATGTGTGCCCAGGTTGCTCGTCATTAGTACCTAACTGCTAAAAAGAAGGGGAGGATCTTGTACAAAGGAAAGTTAAAGGACAGCCTTTCTATATATTTAGAAAAACAAAGATATTTGGAATCTATTTTTTTTAATCTGTGACTTAGGATATGGGGATTGTCAGGACTTAGAGCCTGCTGTATTTCTTACCAAGCCTGTGGAAGTCATGAATGTGTTTTTCCATAAATGGAGTCCAGGGTTTCTCTTTATTTTTCAGGGAACCCACAGGTAGTTGATTCAACAGAATCTGCCAGGGAAGGATGATTATTATTTCACAAATCTTCCTTTTCCTTTTCAGGACCAGAGATATTTGGGGTTTTTATTGAATGTGTCATGATTTATGATTTGATTAGTTTGACGCCAGGTTAATTTCCTACTATAAAATTCATTCAGATTCATTCACAAAGTACACATTTATGGTTGCCTTAGATTGAAAGCACAACCTATGTGAAGAAGTAACCTATGTATAAAAGTAGAGAAGAGGTGATTTTCAAGTTGTTGTTTTCTGCCTTGGGCCTCTATCAGTTTGGACCCTCATTGTAGAGTTTTATAGCTAGTTCTGCCGTGTCATCACTACAGAGTGTTTCACTTTCGAACTCATGAATTCCCACTTGCTTCACATTTGCTGTTTGGGCCATTAATGTTTCTGAGCTTGGACATTAAATTTTATACTTGTGTGGAAATTGCATACACTTGTACTAGGGTTGGGGAAGAGGAGATAGATGTGGATTACCTCCTTTGCTTCAAAAAAGTGGGTTTTTTGGCATGAAATTTTATTTTGCATTATTGAATCCAGAAGAATTCTTGTTCATTGAAAAGAAAAAATTAAGAAATCCAAGAAAACTGAGGACAGTCTTTTTCTCCTCAGACATTACACAGAATTTCTTAGATTCTGGCATTTGATTTATTTCTAGGATTTATATGTCATAAAACTGATGTGTTATAAATAAGTCAGTAGGATTTTTTTATGTCTAAGGGGGAAGGTTTTTAGCATGAAAAAGCATATTTATAGGGTTTTCTTGTCTTAATTTTTGATTTCTCATGTTGTGAATTTAGAACTGGGTATTTCTTAATAAAGCTTTAAGTTCAATGTATAAATCTTAGTTTATTTAAACATCTAGTGACTATTTCATTAAAATTAAAAGATTTCATTTTCACTTGTTCTTAGATTAATGCATCATGCTTTTATGAATTTGGCAGATTAAAATTTCCCTAACTACTCTCAAGCTTAAGTAGTCATATCAGTCCCTACTTCTGGACTTAGTGGATCTGCTTCTCCCTTATACCTCATTTTGTAAGGCCCACTTATGTAAACTGTTGTCAGTCTTTCTATACATTTGAAGTATTAAGATTTTTGCAAATCGATTGGACATTTAATCATCAATTACAAATTTAGTTAAAATCTCATATATTTCTATAAATTGTTAATATGTGA